AGTGGGAAAGGTGTTAGTGGGAAGGGTGTTAGCGGTGTCCAGGCCCCAGCTCCACCCCATCAGCCCCGTGCACAGGCGCAGCCCAGGCAGACTCGTTTACAAGGATCTCAGCGTAAAAACTGTGTCACCTCTACAGGCTCTGAATTTGCACTTTTTGGCTTCACATCTCACAGAAGGGGGAAAAATATTCCCTTTCTGCAAGGAAGAGCAGGAATTGGAGGTAGGGATCACCTGGGTGATGTGCCGGTTACGCTAGTGGGAATGATGTAACTGATTCCCATGGGTTTTCTGGAAATTCTATTTCTTAATGGATAATCTGGGAACTGATGGCAACGTAAAGAGCAGTGCTCATCCACAGCCTGCTGCCCCGGCCGGGCTCCGCACGTCCTCAATGCTGGGGTTTTATTTATCTCATGCAGACGGCAGTTTGTGTCACACTCTTTTTAGTGTTCCCACAGCCCGAAATACACAGCAGCTGCCACCGGAATAAAGGAAATGTTGCTCTTGTCTCCCCCAAGAATATCAGGTTCATTTTGATGGGATCATAAACATTTATGGCTTTTGCAGAGAACAGTTAACAGGCAGTGAGTAAATTTACCACTGGGACTTGGTGAACTGAGTTGTCCACACGCTGCCTGCAGTGCAGAGCTCGCCGCGGGCCGGATCCCTGCTCCGAGGCGAGGAGCAGATCCTGACCAATGTGCCCTGAACTAAGAGTCTGACCGGGGAACGGGGCTGTGCGGGATGCAGGGACAACGCGGTGTCTGCTCGCTGGAGATGCAGTTTTCTGGCTGAATCCCGCAAGCAGGAGGGCTCTCTTGGGCACTTCCATGTTGTAGTGGATGTTCGTCGTGATGTTACTCGATTGCAAAGCTCTGGGAGGCTTGGCGGGGGACTAATTGTGTCCCTAAGCTAAATGGGATGGCAGTACTGCTGGTCTCTGTGTGCGCCTTGGACTCAGGTTGTTCTGATCAGCACTACTGTGTGACAGAAGGGATTTTCCACCTGAGAAAAGCGACTGGCTAAATGCAACATCGACCACGCCGTAGCTGGCGCGCTCCTTCTGCATGGCTCCCCACCACCACCCCGCTGCTTGGTGCCAAGGCTGGAGATCAGCACATCGAGAACGACTGTCCCATGCAGCACCACCATGAGAGACCCACCGAGGGTGGGACACGGGCTGTCCTCACGCAGCAGCCTCCAGCGGGGCCCCAAGACACTGGTTCGGGGGGATGACGTTCCTGCCGCCTTCACGTGCTCCAGAAGGCCTCGTGCCAGCTGCGTGGTGCTGCTGTCCACAGGTAGCCACCAAGGGTGGTACCTGGTCCATGGGTGGCTCCCGGGGACATTTTGGAGGTTGTGCGGTCACCCTGTGGCCTGGCACCAAGACAAGCTGCCAGCAGCCAGTTGACAGGCAAGCGCATCCCGCTGGGAAAGCTCCGAGTGGGGAGGTTTTCCAGACTGTGATGGAGTGCTGTGTTCCCTGTTGGCCATAAAGCACAAGTGACCATGGAAAGATTTCCCTGCAAAGCTTTGAAGAAAACCTCTCCGTGTTTTGGAGGGAGGGAGGGGGCCAAGGCAGGACAGGGCTCCCCAGCAGACCAGGATCTCAGTCTCGGGATGCTCGCGGTGAGCAGGAAGCGCCATCGGTGCCGGTGGGGACGTCGCCTGCAGCCGTGCGTTGGTTTGAGCTGAGAAGCAGCATGATGAGGGTGGACAGAGTTGCTCTGCCCTCTTTTTCCACCTATTCCTTGCCCAGATCCTCCTGAAAGAGCTATGGAAATCCAGCAGTCCCCGAGCTGCTCCCTGTCACCCTGCTGGGACAGCGTGGTGTCACACGCACCAGGCTCTTTGTGGTTGAAGCCACCACGTGGTGTGGGGACTGTGGCTCCGTGGCTGACACCCCTCAGCTCCCACGGCCACGCGGCTCCGGGAAGCCGGCGGGAAGGCGCGAGGCCGCGCGGCGCTGCGAGGCGCCTGCGCTCTGTGAGCTCTTCCAAGACGTTTCTGATGTCTCTGCTCCGCGGGTGACGGGCTGGGGCGAGCGCCGTGACGCCCCAGCTGAAGCTCCCTCCTAAGCTTTGAAGTCTCCCTAGCGGAGCATCCAGGCCTGCCCGCCTGCAAATTCGGGAAAACGAGCAAAACCTGGGAGAGATGTTGGGCAGAGAGTGTCCTTGAGCACCAGCCCCACAGAACAAGGGGCAGATGTGACCTGGGCACCTGCCACTGCCTGTGCTCCGGACGTGCTGCTACCTCTGCACTGCTCCGGGAGGGAGGAGGGCGGCCAAGGAAAATATGGACAAAACCAGGAGCGTTTCAGCCTGGCTGCGCCTCCCGGTGAGCAGCTCCCGCACGTTGCAGGGTCTCCGAGCGGCCACGTCCGCTGGGAAGCTGTCCAGCCTGGGGGCATCGTCCCTAGGGCAGCAAGGGAGACGCAGCCACAGCTCCTCTGAGGCACCGTGGCAGTATTCCCAAAAGGGCATTTGGGCATTTCTCCTGGAAACCCTTCATTCTTCATAGCAAAATGTAAAAGTGTGGGATGCTTGGTTGGTTCTTACTGCTTGGGTAGAAGCTGAAACTCTCCAGGAAAAAGTGGCTGCATTTAGCAAACAGCATCTTTGAATAAGGGCCCAGAGCCCCCCAGACCCAGCAGGACGGGACATCTCCACTTGCTGCCCTTACCTCCTGTGAAGTTCTTCTCCATGTAGTCGATGATCTGGTTGTAGTCGCTGATGATGTTGTCCCTGTGGATGACGACGGGCACCTCCTCGCCGAGGTTGAGCCGCATGAACCAGGGCTCCTTGTGCTCCATCAGGGGCATGCTGACGTCGCGCTCCTCGCAGGGCAGCCCCTTCTCGGCGATCACCAGCCGCACCTGAAGCCAGGGCAGAAGCAGCTCAGGTCTCCCACAGGCGCCTGCTACCCGTGCTGGCTGTCCCCTGCTGTCCCCCACCACTGGGATGGGCATTTCTGTTCCATGCCAGGTTGGCACCAGGATCTGTCGCCCTGATGTTGCCAAAGCATTTGCAGATGTGCCAAGGGCCTTGGCGGTCACCACCCGCCCGAGTAGACATGAGGTTGGAGCATTCTCACCCCAGGAATCACCCCATCCCGGCAGGATCGCGTCTCTGTCATGCAGAGAGGACGTGATGTGTCCTGCTGCCACTGTCCCCTCCCCACAACTCACCACAGCGGACGGAGGGCCTCGAGCACCAGGACCCTCCCGTGAGGGCTGACGCGGCCGCGTGGCGGGAGGGCAGGCGGCAGCTCCGCGGCGTGGGGATCAACGGGACCCACCTGGTGCCGGCACCGCCTGGCACTGCCCAGGTGAGAGCCGAGGAGGAGGAGGCAGCAGAAAAGGGGGAAGAGGAGGAGGAGGAGGAGGCAGCAGTGCTGCCCCTTGCACCAGTGGGTGCTGTGGCCAGCAGAATGGCAGCAGAATGGTGATGGCAGCTCAGGTGGGTGCCAATTGTGGGGTGGTCTCTATGGCTTTGCTGGGTAGATGGGAGCAGGGAAAAAGATCTGCTCTATGGGGCCTTCAAGCTGCTGTTGGGCCCTAGGGAACTGCTGTGTGCAGGTAGCGCTGCCAGGTATTTCTTCCTCTCTCTCTCTTCCCCCTTCTCCTTGCTGCCCCGAGGCCGAGTAGCCACTGCAGGAAGCAGCCTGGCTCTGCCCTTTGGCCCTGCACTCAAGAATCTCATTTTAGACAACCACTTTTTAACAAAAACTGTCCATTCTGCACTAAGTATGTCAAACTAGCAAAAAAAAAAATCCCTGCAGGGACATCAGACAGCCACTTCTTACAGCACCACTGGAAGAAAAGAGCAGCACCTGCTTTCTTCTAGCTGGGAGCAGCTAAAAATAATACTAAACAAATATGAGCATTTCTCAAAGTACTTCATATTTCCTGTGGAATTAGCCATTAATTATTTACAGGCCTGACTAATTAATTATGTTTTCCAAAGTGAAACAAGTAATAGCCTGATTTCCCTCGTTTGCGCCTTGCTCTTGGTGTTTTCCTCCCCTCTCATGGCCAGGCCCAGCAGGGCCCATCCTGGCTGAGCAGTCCCCGTGGCTTGTCCAGATCCCCCCTCCTGTGCTACAGAGCGGCAGCAGGTCGGGGCCTGGTCCTCGGTGGCCTTGCCAGGAGCTGTGGATGCTGCTCCTCATCCCCTGCACCGTGCCAGCCTGTCCTGGCGCCTCGGGCATGTGCTGTGCTAGGGTGTTTTCTTTAAAAACCCCAAGCTGGCAGTAGAGACGCCCCTGGCGAGGGCTCTTTCCTTGCGGGTGGCCTCGCGGGTGGTGCTCGGCGCAGGGTCCTGCCAGGCGGCACCGGAGGAGCCC